TGAGTCTTAGGGGCAGGTCGAAACAATGAGGGCCTGAAAATGGCCCTCCGTTTCAGGCTGAAAACTCTGGGTCTGAAAAGACCCAGAAATAGGCTGAAACGGGGTAGGGCTTGCAGGCCCTCGTTTTTCAGCTTYCAGGCTGAAACGAACGGGGCCTGTAAGCCCTAAGTTTTAGGCTTTTAGGCTGAATGTCCGGGACGGGCTCTGCAGGGCCCGTGTGGCTATGCAGTATGCCACACACACACACACACACAGAAAAAAGAAAAAAAAAAAAAAACAGTTTTAAAGTGTATGTCTTTCTCTTGTTCGTTTGTTCTTTCTCCGATTTTTCTCAGTATTTTTTATCTGCCCAGCTAAGCACCTTTAAGCAGTGCCAATTTGCCAAATAGTCAGTCATTCCTCGTTTGGAGTGCCTGCAGCACTCTTAGGGCGGCCGCTCAGCTCGGTGTTGGATGTGTGGACTGCCTCGTCTGCGCTCCGCTGTTGGCCTTGCTGCCCGTCCCGCTTGCTTCACGTGTCATTCTTGGCAAGCTGCTGTGTTCACTGTGTGGTGTGGCTGTGGTGTTGGTGTTGCCTTGTGCCTCACTGCTCTGCTGCCTTGCCTCCCATCCGTGTGTCGTGCCTTCCGCGTCCTTTGCTTATGTGCCGTGTAGTTTAGCTGTCTTGTTTTTGTTGCCCTTGTGCTTCACCGCATGGCTGTTGTGCTGCTCGTCCGCTTGCCCTGTCGTTCCTTGCAGTTGGTTTTGGCGTTGTGCAGTTGTGTTGCCTCGGCAGCATTGCCAGGTAATTCACTGAGCTCCTGCCTGCTACTATGTTCCGCTTGGGCCCTAGGGACAGTCTGTCTTCAACATGGGTCAAAGGGTTCATGACCCAAACCATCAAATACAGAGATTCAGCAGACTGACAAGGTTTCACGAGTTGGTGTAACTCTGACGAAACAATCTTGTTATCGTCAGTTTTTATTTCTTTTCGGTCTTTGTTTTTTTTTTGGGACTTGTTATTATTTCTGGTTTTCTGCTTGTTGCCTTGTTGCTAATGCCTTGTTCCTGCATGGTTCATTGCTTTTCCCTTTGCCGCTTTGTGCTGCTTTGTGCTGCTTGTGTGCTTACCCGCCTCCCCCATGCCCTTTAGCCCTCGCTGCTTTGTGCTGCTTATCTGCCCACCCGCCTCCCCCATGCCCTCCAGGCTTTGCGCTTTGCTCCCACTTGCCTCCCTGCTTTTTGCGTTGCTGCTTGCTGCTCATC